ATAAATAACTTCTAATTAATATATGACTTATTGGATCAATTATTAATTGAATTTTACATTATAAATTTAAAATTTCATTCTCAAATATATAGGCACTTTTTATCCTGCTTTTTTTATGACATGTAACTCTATCATTATTTAATACTTATTTGTATGTTTGTTAAAATTCTCAGCACAGTAATTAGTTTAAAAAATTATTTTACATTAATTTTTTCTCAAATCTTAGTTTTAATTATTTTAAATTTTATATGAATTTTTTTTTTGTTTCATATCTCTATGTATAAATTCAAATAACTAGTTTTTTTTTAATTTAGAATTTTCTTAAATACTTATTACTTACACTATTTATTCATTTCAATTAATTACAAATATTCATTTTATAATTTACATATATTTTTAATTTATATTTTAAAATTTTACTTAATTTAAAAATATATTATTGGTGGTATAAAAAAATTCTTCATCTGGTTGAACTAGGTTGTATAACATTTGCAACATACTGACAATATAACCAGCTAATATCTTCCCAATCCACACGCTCATTACGTTACGGATATGTGGTAGCCAATCAATTTCTAAATTTGTGCGAAAGAAATGGAAGAAAATTATAGTCTTAGTCAGCTTCCAACTCTTGCAATGTCCCTTTACATATTACTTGTGAAATCCTTATTGACCAATAGTGGGAAAACTATAGCACGCATAAATAGAGACTTTTCAAGGCACCGATTTATATAAAATTAAACACACCGTGGTTTCGTTTGTTATTGGTTATTATACATATATAATACACTGAATGTGATGGTTGAACCATCTCTCTTAAACTTCTCTATCTAGTTCAAGCCAATTTTAATGAATAAAGAAAATTGACAACCTCACTAAGAAAGAAATTCCGTAGTCCCAACATGTCAGAAGAAAGCTAATTTAATTGTCAAACATGTCAAAACTTAATCAGACCCCTAATTGGATTGTGGTGACTATCAATTGAAAAGATGGATTAACTTTATTTTTTTGTTCAATTGCCCAATATTTGGTTTTTGCTATTAAAGGATGAAAACTTTATCAAGAAAGCTTCACTGGAGAGGGACTTGCATGGATGCGTGAACCGTTTGTGTTAGTTCCATGTATATAAGTGCCCAATTCAGAATTAGTATTGCGTTAATTCGATGAGGTAAAGGTGTGGGAATAAGCTAGATTTTCTTAGCTCCTTTCCTTACCAACCACAGGGTGAACGTACTAAAATGTCAAAAAGTTCAAAAGAAGGAACAAACTTTTTCCCAACTGCTTAAGTTTTCAAATATATCATTATGCTTCTAAACCATGACCATGAGCCATCCTTTTCGTTCTTGCACAAATCAAACCAAAACTACCAAGAGGTTTCAAACCTGCAAATTAAGGGAAAAGAAAAAGCATCCTTTATGGGAACCAACTCCACCTGTATTCAACTAAGATAGAAACCAAGTCTGTGGTTAATAAGCTAGGCAGATGATATCATCCACATTAATTTTTAACAATTAAAGTAGCCAAATCTTCCTTTCTGGGTTGGACATGTTTGTATCAAAGATCTCAATAATGGATTGCAAAAGCACCGACCCTGTGTTATTATAATTCCATTATTAAATATTTATTAAATTTCTTGACTTAACTTTAAGTTGGGAAAGGACAAAGAAGAAGAATTTGTGTATACCACCTGTCACCATGTCTCTTTCAAGCTTACCCAGCCCTCTCTCTCTCTCTCTCTCTCCCCCTATTGATTTTTGCTTATATTATATATTTTTCTGAAAGTACACATACATTTTAAATTAGTGTCTATTTAAATTTTATTCGTTCTTAGATTTTAAAGATTATTATAGACAAAATAAAAATGAAATATTTTTATGGATTGAAATCATATTTGAGCGATTTGTTTTTGTGAAATGTTAAGAAATTTGAAAGGGAGAAGAGTTACACAAGAAAATCCTAGACATTTTGTTGTTTGTTGGCATATTTACACAAGAAAATGCAGTCATCCCCTTAATTTATGGGTATAATATTTATGAAAAATGCTATAAATGGAATGATTCCAAACGTTTCGCTCCAATGCATTAGGTCTCTCTATTCATCCTTTTAGTGGATGCAGGTAAGGTTTGTCTTGCCCACAAGTCTCTTCAAAATGAGAAGCTAGCTACTCTGTGTACCATCTTCTCAACAAATTAAATACTCTCTATCTATCAGCCTCCTTGTCTTTAGACATCAACCTACTGATTAGATATCAAGGTTAATAAGTGAATTGTGGGAGACAATGAAAGATTATGGCGTTAGCCTCAAGCTCTTTACTTTTAATAGCCTCATATCCAATCAAATTGAACATTTCCAAACACAGAAAATGGTCAGCATATTACTGGTCCCACATTCTAACTCCTAGTCAAGATGAAAAGAAGGCACCAACAAACCGTCCAAGGGTTAGTTGGAGCTTTTAGAGTCTAGAAATCTTGCAATGATATATGTCACCTTCTTTGAGAGGCAAAAAGATCTTATAAATCTATTGGGGAAATTATGGAAATTAAATCAATCTTCATCTCAAGATTCTCGTTCTTTATTTTTATTTTATTTCTTGTCTGGGTTAATGTCATTCAAGCAAATTAACTAATAACGAATTAGAAATTAGGGATCATGCTATTTACTTTTTCAACATCTGAAAACAATCAATTATATTAATATTCATGATATACACAACATCTTGTCAAAGGATTACATAACGGTAGCGATACATTCTTTCTAAAACACTTCTATAGATTTTATTTTATTTTTTATATTTCTAATTTAATATTCTCTCTTATATTTTTACAGTTTTAATAAATTTTAGTTCATAATTAAAAAAGTATATTAAATAAATATGTGTTTATATAAGTCATCAATGATATATTACAACATACATAGTTCTTCTATTCTTATTTATAACAAATTATAAATATTTTTTCATCTAGATCATAAAAAAATAAAAAATAAATAGATTGATTAATTTTCTTATATTAATATTTAATATAAGTTTTGTATTAATGAGATACTCATTTATTATTGTGAATATATATTTTTTATTTACTTAATATATAAATCATTTATTTAATTATTTATTGTTATGATTTTTTAAAATATAAATACTTTTATTACTTTTGAATTAATTATCTCTTTACTGTAAATAAGATTAAAAAGAACGATTGAATCAACTAGTAGAAATTTTTTTTAGCTTAACTTAAAGTTTTGAGAATTAATTAATAAAAAGCCTTCCAATTTAACTTGAAGTCTTGAATTTAAATTTCAATGAATATAAATGTTTGAAATTTATTTTTTCTCTATTAAAAATATAATATAACATATATTAGTTTATGAGATGTGCACCCCATATTCATCATCAAATTTCTTGTAAACAAATTTGAGCATCAATTGATTTTATTTTATTTTTGATAAAAGCTTTGGCTTTGTTAAGTCTCTTAATTATTATATTTATGTTTTCTTACAATTTTATTTTGTGTCTATTGAAATCATATATATAACAAAATTTACTTCTCATTTCTTGTGAAGTGAAATTACTTTTACACGCTTTATTTTTCTTTCTTAATCTTTGTGTTTTCCTCTTTTGTAACGCATGTTTTTGAAATAATATATCAAACTATATTAATAATCATTCATTCAAAATAGATTTATACGCTTCCTTAATTGTTTATTCGAGTCTCCGATTTTCTTTCAACAATATATATAATGATTATCTACAATCTTTACCGTGAAACTTGGAATGATTACACCTCATATATGATAAATAAAACAGTGTCATAACTATTAAGGTTATAAAACAATTGTTCCTTATGCCTCTGGTCAATAATTGATTTAGAGATGTAACTTAGGCGAGCACGAGATTCTTCTTGGTAGACTGGAGATGAAAGTATTTATGAAACTATGATCAGTTGAATTATATAAGTTCGTCGCACTAGATAATATTTTAAAATGAGATTGCTGAAAGTGTAATGTACTTTAGCATGTGACTTTATAAAAATTTTATGTGACTTCTATGACTTTATAAGATGTCATTTATTTTAATTTTAATGTCAATGAAAATTATTGTAGAAAAAAACTAGGGTCAATTTTAGATTAAGTTATAGTGTATGAGAGTATTATAACTGTAAAATTCTATTGTTGTAAGACTCTTTTTCTTATAAATGGTTGTTGAAAATTTTATCTAAATTGAATTAATTAAATGCACTTCATAATATATTTTATAGAATGAGCAATTTATAAATTGGATTTAAGTAAATAAAATTTTATAAAGTTAATAATTAAAATAAATATTTTATAAAATTGTCAGAAAATAAAATAACAATACTTATTCGTTAGCCGTTACTGTTACTAGCACTTATTTATGTTAACCGTTTATCAATGAACCTGTAGGTTTTAGTAAAGCCGAAGGACAACACAATACATGCAAAGGCATTAAGCATATTCTGGTACTTTTTTATTTTTCTTCCATTTTCACCTCAAAGTTGACTAATTTAATTAGCCGTAAAATATGTAAATTTAAAATTGTGTACTGTAAGAAATTTCGGCAGAAAATTCAAACAAATGGGAGATATTTTCATATTAATTGTAACATGACAAGCCCTACCCCCTTTATTTTTGTCTAATGACATGTCCAACCTGTCTTAACAGTTTTGACCTCTATATAGTAATTTAAGGAAAGGAAAATCAAAGAAAGAACAAACATACATTATTGATATCTGAGTACACATTTGCCCAATAAAAGTATTGGAAATTTTCCAATATAAACTTGCTGAAAAATTAAATTTTACGCATTTAGTTTCATTAATCACTTTCTTAGCGTTTTCTTTTTTTGTCAGATAAACATAATTATATCAAAAGTATCAACATATAAATGGTGATAGGTCCTGTACAAAATTTGAATGATACTAATTAGAGAAAAAAGTTGGAGGAGTTAGTGTATGTGGCCAATGAGCAAAACATGACTGCAATTCATGCCAAGAGAAATCAGTTGCTTGAGAGGGGAAAAATAATAATAATAAACAAATAAATGTAGAAAAATGTACAAGATGTGAAGGGTAGGCAGCAGCCACACATGCCCTGTATGCGGCGCTTAAAGCTTCATCTTGAAATGGCTACATCATCATTCATTTACACTCATTTCCAAACGGAGCCGATCAAAGCCGAGCCGTGCCGTCACGGCGGAGCAAGGCTAAGGTGCAAGTCCAAGCCGAAACCATCATCAAAATTGGGCCCCACATCTCCTTTAGATAACCTACTCAGAGATGGCCCATCAACCCTCCCATAGTGGGCCCGAGCCTGTACTTGCGAGCCCATCGTTGACAATGCGGACGATGAATCCCCTGCTCCGCCAGCGTACGGCAAAACCCCTGCACCTGCGGATCTCGTACCCGTTAAAATGCTATAGTTATTACTAACCCCGTTACAGGTACTGATGCTGCTGCCGTTGCTATTGTTCGCCGAAGGGAACACGCAACCGTGTGAAACCGACACGTGGAAGGGAGGAGGCGCCGCACGTGGCGGCATGTAGACCCACGACGGCGCCGCCGCCGGAACCACCACGGGCCCCGGCGAGGCCAGCAGGTGCGGCGGCGGGGCGAAGGCAGAGATGATCGGGTTCCGAACGAACGAAACGGCGGCGTTTCGAGTGGCTTGTAATTGCGCTCGTTTGAGTTGTTGCCTCTCCTTCTTGTGCGCGTTTTGGTGTCCACCGAGCGCTTGCGAGTTCGCGAACTCTCGGCAGCAGTACTGGCACTCGTATTTCCGGTCGCCGGAGGAAGGGGGAAATCCGGCGGAGCCGCCGTCTCCTCCGCCGGAATCCGGTGATGCAGCTTTGACAGCCGAGTCGGACGCGTCTTCGAGTGCTACTGCTTCGGCTTCGTCGTCGACGTCGTGGACGCTGAAGCCGAAGAGTTTTAAGCACGTGGGGGAATTGGGGTTTATTCTTTTAGTGTGGCCGTGGATTTGGTCCTCCATGGGCTTGTGTTGTAAGATCGATCGGTTATGGGAGAGTGAGACAAGGAGGTAGAACTGGTGTGTGTGTTTCGATATTAAGGTGTTTGTTCCGTGTTTGGGGTCTATTTATACATGGGATTTTGACGATAAATAAAATAAAAATGTAGGAGACACTGAAAAGGGTAAGAGAGAGAGAGTGAGAGAGAGAAGAAGGGGTTTTTGCGGACATCCCAATGAGAAGAAAGTGTGTGAAAATATGGAACACGACCCAAGAACACCCCCACAGGGGACCCAAAGGGATTGCAAGTGTCTCTCTGGCAGTTTCATTTCCATTTGCCTTTTTATGTGTTTGTTAAGAAACTACAATTTTGAAAGGTGGCTTTGCCTTTCTTCATTTTCATTAGCCTTTCACTTGTTTGACTCGTGAACAGTTCCGAATTAAAGAAATTAGACATTTTGTTTTATTAATTACTATTTTTGTGTTGTGATTATTATTATATTGTAATAAAATCAAGACGAGGATTGAGAATGTGATGCATGTGATAGGAGTATGGGACGGGTTTGAAAGTCCTATAAAACAAAATGATTGGCTTTGGATCAGAGCCATATAACATTCTTTTTTCTGCTTCACACGATTCTTACACATATACGTACAAGCCACTAGTACATAAATTATGCATTTGTGTATCATGCAAGTAGCTGGTTTGACCAGAAACTCTCCAAGTCTCAACCAATTAACTCATTTTGATGGGTTATGTATTAGCAGCATCAAAGCCATTAAATAGCGGATTAACTCATTCTAAATTTAATGGTCAATTGGACCCATCCCTTCATTTGTTTATCATCCCAAGCCATCAAGGACTGTTAATTAATTTGATTATCCAACCAACAACTGGAAAGTATGAGACATTGGAGGCTCCCTTAATGCTATTAGGTTAGAAAATTAAGCATGGATGTTTCTGTGACACTTGCGTGCTCCACTCTTTTGATGCATTTGAACTTGGTATAAGTGGCCAATCACGAGCTTACCAGATTGTTTGATCAACTAATTAATAAACATTTGCTAAAGTAAGAATCTAACTCAAACCTCGGCGCATACAGTGTCTGTTCCACTTCATTTCGGACACGTACATCTACCTCTCTACAATGCCCATGCTACCTTATATTCATATATTTTTTTTAAATTCATACAAAATAAGTTCCGCACATATAAGATCTTGAATTTAAACTTTTACGCTTAATAAATTTTTATATAATGATTGATTTGAAGGTTATTATTAAGTTGATCTGAATTAATATTTTATTATATTACTTTATTATAATAGTTGTTGTATTTTTACAATATAAATAAATATTAAATTTTGAATAGCATAAATACAAATGTTTAAATTATATAAAATTTAATATATATTATCATAAATATAATGAGATAATTTAGTGATTAAATTAATTAATCTTATGATTTTTAAAATTATTAAAAATTATAAATATCTAAGTTCGTATCTTAAATTTTATGGATATATTATAATTATTGTTAAATAACGAGTATTTTGTAATTATTTTCATTAGCTCATCTCACAAATTTAGTCTAGTTCGATATTAATTTTATGGGGTTTGATTTTTAAAAATTATTTATGATTAGATTATTTCAAGTTATCCCAATCTGGCCCAGTTTTGTCTATTCTTTTAAATTTTATACATTTAAAAATATTTTTTATTAATAACATTTAAGCCTTAATAAATAATATTTTGTATATCATAATTTTAAATTTATATTGATCTTATATATATATATATATATATATATATATCTCATAAAATATATTATATTTTTAATTTTATACTTCATTATTGCTATTATTTAACTATATATAATATTAAAATCAGTATATTTTTATCAATAATTAAGTTAACTCGATCTTCTTCCCTATATTATCAGGTTTTGATTAAGTTAATGTTTTTTTTTTTTTTTTGGCTTCATCAGGTTGAGTTAGTTCAAAGAAAAAGATTTTTTGGGCTGAATATGGTTAAAGAAAAATCCATCTTGATCCGTCCCACATACACACCTAATTTTCTTTTTTCTTTTTTAAAAAAGACATTTGACATCTTTTTAGTAATGTATATACTCATAAAGATAAATATAAAAAAAATCTAAAAATAATATACATTACTACAAAGACTTGTTTCTTTAGTTAAAAGTTTATTAAAATAACACTTTTTAGTGAAATAGCTGAAACAATAGCTATTAAGCTATCGATATTAGTGTTTTTTATTTTCAGTTACTAACTGAAAGTGATATTAATATTTTTAAATATTTTTTTACTCATTCAAATTCTTAAACCTTAATTTCTTTATTTTATTAAATAGGAAAAAATGTCACAAATAATAATAAAAAAAAATTCACAGCATTCATTATTTTAATTTCAAAAATAATAATTTGTTAATGTTTGGAGAAGAATTTAATAAAGTCATTAAATTTTTTATAATAAAATTTTTATGATTAAAAATAAAATTAAAAACTTATTATCTTAATTTAAAGATATTAACTGATTTTAAATAAATTAAAATATATAATTATTAAATTTAAAATTTCTTCCATTAAGTTATGATATCCTTATTTATTATTTCGTATTTATTAATTATTTTAATAGTTAATTTTATCAAACACTTTTAATTTGATCGGTTAACATTTTAATTTTCAACTAACCAGCTGGTTGCTAATTTTGTCAAACACGTCTTTTATTTCTAATATTTTTTGAAAATATTGAATATCATGAGAGTATGATATATTTATGAATTATTAAAATTTGACTATATGTCATGTGATAAACACTTGATCAGACCATATACGATGAAACACGTAACAATATCATACAATAAAATAATTTGTGAATGCTCCCACTTTAATGCCCGCAGACTCCAAAGCTTGATGCTAAAAATTCTGAAAGCAATTGGAATTGCATATCTGAATGCACCAAAAATAGATATTATTGAACTTCCACCCAATCGCACTTGTTTACTCAACTTCTTATCTAATTTTAGGTTTTCTCTCTCCTATTGCTTCAATTTTGCCTTGGCTCAATCTTAATTAGAAGCCGACACACCATTGCCCACCACTCTCTATCTCTCTCTAGAAAGTCAAAGCAGCCCACCAGGGAGAGAGAGGAGCTCTTATAATATGATAGCATCCAAGATCCTAAACCAGTATATAACACTCTAATCAAACACCGTTAGTCCCACTAATCACTGCTGCATGGCCCACGTGTCAACATCATATTCACCCTTCATATCTCACTTTAGATACGCATGTTTCACATTACTCCAACCTCTTCTCTCACACATGTCACGGCCTGTCATGATGGCAATTTCGTGAAATAAAGTCAACACAATAAGAAGTTCAGGAGGACTAAGGGGGAGCTTAGCTTTTGCTAATATGATGTTAGAGAACTGATAGAGAGAGAGAGATGGAGCTAGAAAGCTATGCTGTATTTGAAAATAAAGTGGTCACCAGTAGTTATTTAACACTTCACAGTTGGCTTGTTTGAAAGAGCATTTGTGTTATGACATAGAGGACACAGAATTGAATATAATAACGTTCAGGTGTATGTTTATTACAAAACTCAGGGTTTGGGTCCCCACCATTACGTGTTGATGATGATGAATAATTGTTTAGGATGTTTGCGTGATTGACGTTGAAATCTATATTTGTATATTGGTTTTCTTTCTTTGGGAGAGATCTGTGCGAATCTTACTAACTACGAGAGAGAGAGAGAGAGTGAGAGTGAGAGTGAGTGCTTTTTTGGGCTTGTAATCTCCCACTTAAAAAGCATAATAATCATAATCATAATGGCTTATAGAAATATTTATTTAATGAAAAAGGGGAAAAAAATCCGTCTTCAATTCTAAAGTCTTCATCACAACTCCTAATAAGGCCCCACTTTGTCGTTTCTTTCTCATGTGTGTTATCTATTCAAAGCCCCCCTAATTAGTCAAATTTTCCCATGTAAGAAAAAAAATCTTTGTAAATCCCCATAATGTGGATCATCTTTGCAGTGAAAAGTTTATATTCTTTTTCCACCGTTAGATATGATAATTAATCATCATTAGCATAATCTCCAAGTGGCCAATCTATTCAATTAATTAGCTACCATTGTAGTTATGTACTATGACATGGGTAAATGAAAGGTCAAGCTAATTAATCATGGCACCCAACCGTTAACATGTATGAGATTTTGGGGCTTCTTTTATCATATTTACTCAATCTTTTCTTCAAAAAAAAAAAAAATTACCCTTGATTTCTGCTTTTTTTTTAGCCTGTTTAAGAGTGATCTTTTAAAATTCCTTGTCAACACGATGCATGAAGGAATGGTTACAATGGTCATTTTATTAATCTTTTCAGGTGGGACCCAATCGTGAAGTCCTATAGAATATGGGGTCACCGGAGGCACTATATAATAATAATAATGCATGTAGATTTATGACTCACATTAGGATCTCCATTAATAAGTTTAGAAGAAAAAATAAAACAAAGGTTTAATGTACTGCTGAACCTAACAACCTTTTTGCTTTATTATGTGGATCCAATGATTTTGCTCTTTGGGTCTTTCTCACTAGTCTTGGCCTCTTGGAAAGGTTATGAAAACCAAGGCTGGGCCACTTTAGTCCCACTATGGGGCTCAAGGAGTCAATCGTACATTCACACAGAAGAAAACATGTACACTGAATTGACAATCTCCAATAAATGTGTGTAGTCATAAAGGTTAAAAGGGGTTCACGTAGGAGGATCAGTAGTTGTTGTTGGGACCAGTGGTGGCCAAAGAAACGCTTGTACCATTTTTGGCTTCTCCCTGCGTGTTATTTGTCTTCCATAAATGGCCTTTTAAAATATGTTTTGAATGCTCCACTTCTCTTTAATTTCTTTGGTTAGGCTATTTGACAATGAGAATTAATTTCAAGGTCTTATTCTGGCCATCTGGTGCAATAAGATTGACCCTCCAAACAATACTATCTGTAACTGATTCATACATCCACCTAAAATTGTGACCTTGTCTTCCATTGAATTCAGTAATTAAATTGCCATGTAGAGTAGGT